TTGGATGGGTTAAATGCAGAGCACTAATTCCAAGTATGGGTCACCATACTTGGCCACATGTCACATGTCACATGTCACATCACTTTATAACTTTATCAAAAATCCTTTAATAAAACAAGATTTACTCGATAACCATTTAAATGATGTTGTGGCCTAGCATAAGGGTTTTTAAACTTTTAATCTTTTATTATTAGTAGTATATTACTTTTAATATGTTATTATTAATATATGTGACCCTGGACCACAAAACCAGTCTTAAGTCGCTGGGGTTTATTTATAGCAATAGCCAATAATACATTGTATGGGTCAAAATTATTGATTTTTCTTTTATGCCAAAAATCATTAGGACATTAAGTAAAGATCATGTTCCATGAAGATATTTTGTAAATTTCCTACTGTAACTATATTAAAACTTTTTTGATTTGTAATATGCATTGCTAAGAACTTCATTTTGACAACTTTAAAGGTGATTTTCTCAATATTTAGATTTTTTGCACCCTCAGATTCCAGATTTTCAAATAGTTGTATCTCAGCCAAATATTGTCCTATCCTAACAAACCATACATCAATGGAAAGCTTATTTATTCAGCATTCAGAATATAAATCTTCATTTCGAAAAATTGACCCTTATGACTGGTTTTGTGGTCCAGGGTCACATATATTATTAATATAGCAGAATTAAACTGAATTTTCTAAATTTTTCTCAAACATTTCTGATTATGATATGGATGGATGGATTTCCCGATCGCGATTCTAAATATATATATTTCATAATCAGAGTTTGTGAAGATCCTAAAATGGTACCTGTGCTGCTGCGAAGTTTTCAGCATCCTCCTTCTTACTAGTTGCAGGAAAGAACACAATGTTGTCTATGGTCTGAATGAGCTCCAGCTGGACGACACACTTTATGAGCAGAGCTGCAAACAGCCGCTGTTCCCGGACTTCTGGGGAGATTGCATATGGAAACATAAAATGACCAGCTGATAGTATGCTCTGAGTGCATTATGAAATCAGGCTAAAAATAATACTGTTAAATTCAATTAATGAAAATCACTAAGGATTATTACATGGTTCTCTGGATTTTCTCGATTCTAACTGGTCATTTGTGGCATTCTGTTATCAAATACTGTTGTATTTTTGCAAAAACGTATAATTAATGAGTATAATAATAATAGTTTCATTGTTGAGTTTCAAATCTTTCAGTTATGAAAATTGTGGAGCCAAAAAAAAAAAAAAGATCAATAAAGAACAATAATCTGGATGGTTGGCCACCCTGACACATGCCTGAAGCCACACTGAACTGACTCTGCCTGCGGTTGTCAGCCAAAGCCTTCTCCATACTGTTCACTGACTGCTGGTCATCTGACCGAGTCTGAATATCCACTGACTTCTGGGAAATGGAGTCCTGTAAGCACCAGATCAGTACTTTTTAATGTTATAACATGAAATGAACTCATACAGCACTAGAAGAGCATCTGGTTGGGATGACCCTCCATGAACACTTAAACGTTGAGCACAGACTGGAAATCTTATTTGCATACCAGCTGTTTATCAGAGTCGAGCTGAGTCACGTGATCTCCCTCTGAACCAGCCGGTCTCCACGTCAACAGCCTGAAAACAACACAGAGCTGGGTTAGTGGAGTCATGCTATGCAGCAGGTGCCTTTTACAGTATAATGATTATGTTGCCATATCAAGCTAAATAAATACAATTATTTATTTATTTATTTGTTTTTAAATAGAATTATGTCTTCTTTACACAATTATGCCAAAACAGTAACAGGATTCAATGGTAACAGGGCTGACAGTTCTACAGCTTTATTTGACATTACATGCCTTCTGTGTAAGTTATTTAAAAAAAAAAAAATCTCACAATTTATTGCAGATATTTCTACAAATATCAAGCATTTAATAATCAGTCGTTGACTATACAAAATCATAGTAACAGGGTTGAAACTTTAACAGTTAGTTTAGCTACAACATGTTTATTAGAAAGAGAATTTAATGGAAATATTCAGAAAAAAAAAAATCACAGTAACAGGACTGACACTTCTACAGTTAATTTAGCTACAAGATGTTTATTCAAAAGAGAATTTAATGCACATATTTCTACAAATAGAGCATTTAATAATCAGTTGTTTACTTTACAAAATCATAGTAACAGGGTTGACCATTTTAAAGTTAATTTAGCTACAAGATGTTTATTAGAAAGATAATTTATTGCAGATATTTCTACAAATATTGAGTATTTAATAGTCAGTTGTTTACTATGCAAAATCATGGTAACAGGGTTGATATTTTAAGATCATGATGCCTATTGATAATATGTAAAACATGATAAAAACAAGACTTGTCCTTAAAGAGTTCACATTCTTGAAAGAATAAAGCCGTTAGGACATTTTTTTATTGTGGAATAGATGATTATTTTAGGAAGGTAAAAATATGATGTTAACAGGGTTGATTTTGGTATAGAGAATAAAGAACTAAATGCTATTTTTTATTTATTTTTTAAATTTATTTTCAGAATGTGCATTTACAAAGAAAGCATCAGAGTTTCTGTTGGAGATAAAAAAAAAAGCTATATAAACAAATTACCATTATCTAGGCATTAAGTCATTTTTACACATTTATATAAGAGGGACACTATTAACATTCATTTTATAAAACGACCCCTTATGAAAACATCAAACCATCAATTCTGGAGAAAAAAAAAAACCTTTGGGTGAACACTCACATGTGTGGGATGGTGGTTTTGAAGATGTCTAGCATACAGTTGCAGGTCTTGTCCCAGGTCTCAGCGTTAAACTTCTCACCATTGAGAATGACCACATTTTCAAGGCAATTAGTGCCTGATCTCGCTAATTGCTCATTATCTGTGAGGAGAGAAGAGCGAGTGAGATCATGACCTGAAGTCATAATTCACATATGCATTTTCAGTGAACTGCCTATACACAAAATATTCCAGTCCTCAGTATTTTGAACAATGCGTGTTGTTTTCTCAACAGGGTCACTGCAAATGTACTGCAATTGTAACTCGTCCCTTGCTGGTACTGTACACTCACCTTGCTGCACACACCAGTAGAGCTGAGAAAGGATATCATCTAACAGAACATCGCTGAGAGATTCAAAGTACTGTGTGAAAACGTCACAGATAGCATAAAGTGCATGATTGCAGGTGGTGGTCATCCATTCCGCTTTCTGAGGGAAAATACAAAATAAAACATTAGCCACGGTTTTCCATCCTTGGCATGAAGATACTGGAGTGCTACCATATGATTATGAAGAGTCCCTTTCCAAGCGATATCTGTGCTGGTGACACTTTCTAAAATGGACGTCTTATTGTCTTCTAGGACAGGTTTCAGTGCTGATGTTGACTTGCCTCAGTCTGTTGCTCAGGGAGCTTCATGTTGTCGAAGATCCTGAACACGATGCGGAACAGATCCTGCCACCAGTGTTTCTCGTAGGTGTGACCGTACGTCTTCATCACCTCAAACATCACCGTCAGACCCCTGACAAACAAAACAAAAATATATCGTTGGGATAGGGTGAAAAAGACTGACAATGCTGTACGCATGATTCTAAGAACATTTCAGTATTAAACTGTTAGCAGTAACTGTAGCCTGAAAACTGACACTTAAAGCACACTTTAAATGTTTTTGTTAAATGTGTTGCTTGAAAATATAATTAAAATACAATATCGTTCCAAAGTCTGGGGTTGGTAAGATTTTTAGTTTGATTTTTAAAGAAGTCTGCATTTATTTGATTAAAAATGCGGTAAAAATAGGGTCTGTGTACTTTTACGTCCATTCGCTTTTCGTTTTTTAACCATGACGACAAAAATGAAAAAAAGAACGGTTGTATTTTTAAATGCTATGTTGAAAACCAAAATTGAAATTAGAATCGTACACACAAAATGCTGCCCGGAAAAAGTAAAATATTGACTTCTTTTCAGATTTTTGTTTATGACTTTTTGCACCTTTTATAAACATTTTCAAAATGCACAAATTAATATAGAAAAATGTGGATTTTACAAGTTTTCTTTGGCCAAATTAGAAGTCATGCTTCTCCTGCTAGAGCCGTCTCTGGAACAATGCAGAGACCTAATACATTACTTTAAAATATGATTTTAAAATAGACATTGCAGATTTCTGGGAACATTATCGTCATGAAATTATATATTGAGGTATAATTTTGTCATTATTCTGTGTGCTATCTGGGACACAGTATCGGAGAGGACCGTGCACGGTCGCTCAAAGCACGTACAGTACATTGTGTTAGACCACTACACACAAGGCTTTAATATATGGGGTAAATATATAAATATACTGTAGAAATATTTAAAATTATAATTTCTCCTACTTCTCCAGATACAGGCAGGCCCGGTTCCAGAATCGAATCACTGAGGGTACTTCTGAAATTAGTGAGGATGCTCTAGCCTTAAAAGAGACATATTATGCCCCTTTTTACAAAATGTAATATAAGTCTCTGGTGTCCCCAGAATGTGTCTGTGAAGTTTCAGCTCAAAATACCCCACAGATCATTTATTATATCATTTTGAAAATGCCTATTTTGAGTGGAAGCAGAAACACGCTGTTTTTCGGGCCTGTGTCTTTAAATGCAATTGAGCTGCTGCTCCCCGCCCCCTTTTCCAGAATAGGGCTGCGCCATTACAGCTCGGACCTGCTAAAAACATCTGTTTTGGTTCTGATTATCATGTTTATCGCGCTGAAATCATCAAACTTCTGATATATGGTTTTCTGAAAGCACACAAACAGAAAGCGGCTGTCACAGCATTTGAGTACTAAACTAAGTTCTCATTCACACACAAGTTTACGTTAAAAACACACACGAGTTACAAAAACAGTCGGTTATGTCAGTGAAGGTAAACAGCTGGGAAATAATTCACGTTTGTTTTAGATATGTGTGGCAGCAGCAATATACAGTAAATAAATTAATAAATCCACTGCTCTCTTGTCTCCTCTGAGGCTGGGACTCTAAATAGTGTTCTGTGCTCATCTGTGCAGCCAAAGACAGAACAGTTAGCATGTTTTTCTCAAACTTTCACCATGGCATTAGAACTGGTACACCGCTGTCGCTTGTGAAATCAAAATGACGGCGCTGTGGGTGGAAACATGCAGATTAAGGGGCGGTAATATTATAATGAGATCCCTTTGCCACGTCACCAAGGGAGCGAAATCAGACGCGCTCGTTTTCTCAGGCGCTTGCAGAAAAAGGCTTACCAAAACAAAGTTACTGGGTTAATCTTTTTCACGTTTCCTTGGTTGGTAGATGCACCGGGGACCTGATTATAGCACTTAAAACCTGGAAAAGTCCGATTTTCATGATATGTCACCTTTAATGCACATCATTGCAATGATAGTGACATCCGCATATAAATTGATAAGCTACTGATAAGCTACCACTAAATATTGTAGAAACTTAATTTGCTGTAAAGTTGCTTTGTAACGATTTGTATCGTGAAAAGCGCTATACAAATAAACTTGAATTGAATTGAATTGAATAAATGCCGCAATTATATGCGGATCTCACTCCCGGAAGTCTGCAGTGTGTGAGCAGTCACTGGTCCTCTTAGCATTATGAAATACAAAACTTATTCAAATTCCGAGTGGATTATAGCCAAGAAAGCACGCAAAGCTTATAATCACTAAAAAGCATCACTCATTAAAACGCGCTGAAAATAGAAACTTTTGAAGCTCTCCAGAGTTCAAACACAAATACACACTGGAGCGTTTGGAAGATGTTTCGCTAGTAGCCTCTACTATTTCTACAGCTTCACCTGAGGTGCTCTTGCTTTCGTTTCGTTCCCTCTAGCACTCCCTGGATACATTTAAATGCAAATAACGAGTATTTCATACATGTTTTTAGGCGTGAAAAATTATCAAGATCATAAAAATATCTAAGCCAAAGGTTTTCATAAAGCAATAGGTCACCGGTAGCAACGTCAGTACCGTGAGTCTGAGACGCTAAAAAAGCTAGAAATTAAATTTAGCATTTATATACATTAAGCTTTATATCATTTTTACTGAAATACAAATTTTGAATAATGAAATTTAGTTTGTGTCTGCTTATTCTATTCATCAGTGTTTGAACCATTAACGAAAAACCACATTTTCTGTATTTCATTTCTGGGTTAAAAAATGCAAAATGAATGGAAGCTAAAGTACACGGACCAAACAGCAATGTTGTAAAACATTAATACAATTAAATAAAACTGTTTAACATATTTTTAAATTGAATTTACTCTGTGATGGCAAAGCAGAATTCGGTGCACAGAAACATTTCTTATTGTCATCAATGTTGAAAACAGTGCTGCTTAGTACTGTATTTTAAGGATTTTTTTGTTGAATATAATTTTTTATATTTATTTGAAATAAAATAAAAATATTTACTGTCACTTCTGCATTTTAATTTAATGTATTTTAATCAATTTAATGCATGCTTGCTGAATAAAATGATTTCTTTAAAAAAAAAAACTCCCACCTCAAACTTTAAATATTTTAAATATTATTTTTTGTTTACTAAATGCTTTTTCTCACAATTCTTTACAATTTGCGTGTGCTTTTTACAAACTTTACTAGGGAAAAAAAACACACTGTAGGAGCAAGTTAACTCTCGTGCTGTAGTTGAAAACATTTATCAAAAACTTTATAAAACGTTTTGAGATTTGTCTGTATTGTGGGTTTGCCACTAACCTGGTCCGGACGTCCAGCTTACACCTGTTGATGATGCATGACAGCTCAAAGAGAATAGGGAACCAGCCTCTCACCCAGACGCGGTCCTCCGGTGCAACATTCATATCATCACTGGTATAGTCTTTAAATGCCTGCCGACACAGAACACAGTTTGATCATAGACCCTTATTTGATTTGCTTAGCACATACTCAACACAAACCAGAACACACATGCTGCTTGACTATAAGCTCCATTCACAGATCAAAAGGTTTTTGCCCCAATCTGGCAACCCACAGTGAGAAGCAGTGGAGGGCTTCACTAATCTCCACTTCAGAAACACCAGAGGACTAAAGCACTTAACAAGCACAAACACAGCTCATAACACAATCACCCTTCATGGAGAGCAGAAAACAGATCGTTTACATTTTCCATCTACTTAATAAAGGCCTTTAGGTTTTGCTCATTACGGCGTCTGGTAATGAGAGTTTTCTCGTTAAAAGTGCTCTGTGGTCTCCTCAAGCGTAACCCATTTAGTGAATGTCTGTCTAAAGCCTGACCCGGGGTCAGATCATAATTCAGCTGTTATGGAGAGCGCACTCATTAGCACTGACCTGAGGTCGGTCGGAGACGTATTTGGCGCAGTGACGGATGAGACGGATGGCCTCCATGCTGGTGTCGGGGAAAGAAGCGTTGCAGGCAAACTCAGACAGACATTTGACAGCGTCCTGGAAGGAATCAATGGTAGCTGGGAAATGCTTCTCAAATACATTCGCTGTGAGGAGAGAAGAGATGACAGAGGACTTTTACAAACAGCACTTATATACAAATAAAAATGAATTAAAAGTTAATAAATGTTCACAATGCAAATCTTCCTTTCCACTCCACCCAGAAGTGTAGGGTGGGAAAAAAACTAAAACAAAACACACACACACACAAACTAAAACTAAAACTAAAACGGTAAGTGCAAAAAATGATAAATGATAATAAATACCATAAATATAAATAGAATATGTTTAGCTGTAATAATGTTAAGATGTAATCATTTACAAAAATAATAACAATAATTCAATCCTTTATTTTATAACAATATATATATCTATATTATTCATATAGAACTAAATTACTTTTTTGGTACAAAAAAAAAACCTTGACTAATAAGTGGAAAGAAAAAAGGAAAGGAAAAAAACACTAAATAAGGAAAACAATTAATTATTTTAAATAAAATGCTTCATAATGCCTAAATCAGAGAATCCTTGATCTCCATCAGACACTTACTGACGATGTGTCCAGTTGTCTGGAAGGCCAGCTCTACTATACTCTCATCCTGATCAGAGGCAGCGAGATGGAACACAGAGAAAATGTTCTTCCACCCTGATCTAATATTCCCAGCCTGTGAGTTGACCATCTGGGCTATACAGCGGACAACCATGTCCCTAATGGTAGGAGATCTGTAGATGGAGAAGCAGCATGTGAATAAAGCAGGAACGAACACACACACACACACACAATAAACATCAAAATTTCATTTTTGGGTGAACTATCCCTTTAAGGCAGGCCTTACACATTTGTACATCAAACCATGCAGTTTATTACAGTTTGTTTGGTTATTCAACTGACACTTTCTACATTTGAAGAAGGTCTGGCCTGCGTTATTCAGTAATATTTCACTTTCATCACAGTGTAAATTGAAACGCTCACCTGTTCTTTTTCATTATGTGCTCAAACGGCCTGAGGAAATCCTTCTGGAATCTGAAATTGGCCAACTCGCCTTTCTCCAAAAATTTCATGGACAGCTGCCTCAGAGAATCCACAGCGAAAATAGCGACATCCTCATTGGGATTACAGCCGACCTGGGCCCAAACAGCAAGAGAAAGTGAAGGGAAACGTTAAAGCATCGAGAGCGCTGTTTTCATTTTCGGCTCTTCTTCAATCTATTAGATATGCCCTCCTGCAGGCAGAGTGAAATTTAAAAGCATCATTAGATTTCTCTGATATTTTACAATGCCACCGTGACACACACTCTTCATGGACCGATTTCCTTCTGGCGCTGATTTGGTGGCCGCTTTGAACTCACCTTATTGAAATGATCCCCTATAACCTCCCATATCCTGGACCACTGCAGCCTGATACGACCCATGTTATAGTACGATATCTCCACAATCTTCTGCAGACTGAACATTCGAGGGTGTGTAGGGGAGGCCAATTCGTCCATCGAGACAGCACACAGCCATCGTACAAAATCCACTGCAAGACACAACGTCTGTCAACAAGATGTCACTTAAATCTTCCCTGATATGACAGAGCAGGTCATGGGTTCAAATCCCAGAAACCCATAATTTAATTTAATTAATGTAATGTAATTTAATTTAATTTAATTTAATTTAATTTAATTTAATTTAATTTAATGCTTCTATTGTAAGTCGCTTTGGATAAAAGCGTCTGCGAAATGACTAAATGTAAATATAAATGTTGATTCTGCAAGGACGAATAAATTGATCAAAAGTGACAGTAAAAAACATTTATAATGTTACAAAAGATTAGATTTTTGAGCACCAAATATAGCATATTAGAACGAATTCTGGAGGATCATGCGACACTTCACACTTCACAAATTCAGCTTTGCCATCACAGGAATAAACTGCATCTCAAATGTATTAAAAGGGATAACAGTTACTTTAAATTATAATAATATTTCACAATATTACGGTTTCACAGACTTTTGTTCACAAACATCGGCCTCAAAATTATTAACGGTTGTGTAAGTGTAAATATACATGTCTGCCAAATGCATAAATGTACACATGAAATCTTGAACTTACCGATAGCATTTCCATCAAGTCTGGTAGAGCCTGTGAATATCCTGCAGAGAAGATTACGAGTGTTTGTAACAGTCCAGAGACATTAGTGTTTGTAACATTATGAGGTTCATTAGAATTAATGATAACCATCATACCGGTCTACAGCAACTACCACACTTTGCGAGCTGGTCTCTCCGATAGACTCCTGAATGCTTGCGATCTGTTTGCGATCAACGTTCCCTCCTACAGCGAGAAAAATCCCATTGTTTATACAAACACAAACTTCATTTCACACAATGCTGCTGGATAATTATATTGGATTATCATAAAGCAATCTTAATCATAATTTAGCATGAGTTAAAATGTTTTTTGATGATGCAGTGGCAAATGGAAAAACTGCAATTCTGATGGTGCTTGTGTTGAAAGTAATGTCTTTTGTCTTTTGACAAAAATATCCTTTAAATTCAGATACTGTCATATATTCATGAACCTATTTTACTCTGATTGAAATGTTGAAGAACAATTTTATTTTACAAACCAAACATTACCTACATTTTTACAACCTGATAAATGTATACTATTTAGCTTTTCATTTAAACATTTATTAAAGATATAAAGAATTTATTAACACGAATATAATCTTAAAATCATTAAACTACTGCCATGCTGCATCCTTTTCATCTCATCTGTGTTTGCCTATTGACGAATAAAAAAATCCTGTCAACGAACATTTTTACTCTAACAGATCAAATTTCAAAATAAAAAGAATACATTTCTAAATATTTAGCTATTAATTAATTTTAAACACATATTAAACAATTTACACAGATTCCAAAAATAATTTATTTATACTGTACTTTTTTTTGTCTCTACCGTGTTATTAACAAAATCCTTTGTCATCAAATATTTTTGTTCATTGCATTGATGCGAGGATGACTGCTGCCCATGTGAAGTGTGACTGACTGACCCAAGCCCAGGTACTCGTCAGACATCTGTTCCTTGGTGCTGGTGATGAAGCCTTCCTTCCCCCGTACAGTTCCTGATATGTACCGAGCCTTCACTCCTGTCCCGATGAGCTGGGCCAACTCCAGCTGACTTATGCACTTCAGGATCTGCAGCACACATAGACAGAATAATAATACCTCACAAAATCTGTCTGCCAATCACATTGCATAGGAAACGTACAGGCCTGTCAAAGAGCTGGGTTTTGGTAGAGCTCACCTCATGCCAGGAGTTTCCTAAATAATTTCCATCCGTGTGAGCCACTGTGATGAGGGTCTTGATGGTGTCGATGTTCTTCTGCTTCATCTCGGTGATACCTGAGCTGGCCGTCAGCAGCGTGAAGCGGGCCAGAGCTTGTACGTATGCGTCTCGCTCCAACTGGAACAAACCAACACAGAACAAAAACTTTTGGACCCAATGATGACTGAAATCTTGGTCTGTTTCTCACTGAAAGCTATCGTATGAGTCCCACTTGAAATATCAGTGTCCTTTTTGAAGCTTTACAGCTCCGATCCCAATTTATTGTAACTGTATGGAAAAGAGCGACATGCGCATTTCTCAAAATATCTTCTTTTGTGTTCCACAGAAGAAAGTCATAAGGGTTTGGAATAACATCAAGGTGAGTAAATGATTTAAAGTTTCAGTTCTGGGTGAAGTATTCCTTTAAGCAATCGATCATTCCAGGCAAGGATGAGTTTTTAAAAGTGCTTATTCGGACAGAGACTGAATAGTAATGCAAACAAATGCCAGGCCTTTCTCGGCTTCAGTAAATGACCTCTCCACGGTTAATGCAATGTGTGTAATTACCTGAATGCTGAAGATGCACGCTATCCTGATAGCACAGCGGATTCCCTCCAGGCACAGAGAGGCCACCTCAGTGTCATCACAGTCCTGCAGACCCACACTGAACGCAGCCAGGAAGGGTGTCCAGGCCAGCTATGAGAGATCAAGATAATATGGGATGAGTATTTGCATCCAAACAGAATGTATGTGTATGTGTAAGCACATGCGGGGAATACCTTAAACATTGGTCTGACGTGTTCGAGGTGGGTGGCACTTGTAAAGGGGGCCTGAACGTGGCTCACGGCCTCCATCAGAGCCTTGGCGGTTTTTGCCATCTGCTCCATCTCAACATTATACAGAAGCCTCCTCTGCTTCTCACTGGCCACACCTGATCCAGATATAATAGCAAAATATGCCATCAGTCACCACAAAACACACCTCAAAATATCAGAATAATCACAGAACAAACATGTTCATTTGTCCTCTTGGAATTCCAACAGCTTGGCTTTAAATAATAATAATAATAATAATTCTATTTAATGTTTTAATATATTATTATTATTATGTGTATATAATATATTCTTTTTATGTTAACATTTTAAGTTATTATTATTATTATTGTAATATACATTTTATTTTTATTAAAAAAATAGATGTAATTATTATCATCATTGTTAATAACAAAAATCATTAAATCACTAAAATGAATACTAAATGAATAACGATTACAAAATACTGGACTACTTAGTTCAGTCAACCACCGCATTCTATTGTAAAATACTACAAAATAAAATAATTTATACTTAAATTGATAATTAGTGGGATAATACACAGTCTTGTTCATTCCTAATTGAAAAACAAATAAAAGGATTGCTGTGAACTTAATTAGCAAAACAAAGAACCCCAAAAAATTCAAAGAGAGTCTATTTGATTTTGTCACCATGTTTGTCGGTTCGTCAAATACTCACTTTGCTTATTTGACTTGAGAGTTAACTCCTTTGTCTCCTTCATGGATATTTTTTTCCCTGCGATTTCATCATAAATGGCTGAAAGATACTCCTCCGGTAAATCTTTACTGTCATTGATACCTCGGTTCATCTTGATGGATTGCTCTTTCGTCATTTTATTCTTCACCTGCGCCAAGATAAAGGAAACAACAGATCAGTAGCGTTCTTCCTCTTGTTTTCTGTTGCGTTTCAGCAACATCCATCACCCTAGATTTAGCTATTCCGCTCACACATGCCAAACAGCCGTTTCCAGCTCCGACGTTCACATTAACATTCATAGACGCGGCACGGGAATGAAAAGAAAATGCATTCTGCATTCGCTGTAGATTTCAGTGAACAATCAGCGCTTGGTGAACTAACCTGCGGACTGTGTAGATCTGTAGTCAACATGATGATTGAATATGCAAGAACGTATGCGGTGTCAGCGCTGGCGAACAGTGTTTGCCTAAGGACAGATATATAAGAGACAAACAGCGACTGAGTTCAGTGTTTGCGGCATAGTTAGTGATGTAGGTTAATCGGTTGCAACAACACGTGCTCACCCTTGGTTGCATTCTAAATATCTAGCAGCAAATTTCTCCATCAGTCGATCAATTTTCTGGGCCTCTCCGGGCAGACGGAAACCCTCAAGGAACATGCGCAGCGCCGGCACGAAGTCTTTGCCCTGGAAGTCCATTTGGTCGACGTAGGCATACATAACCTCTTTATTGATGCGATCGTTGTCTCCGAGAAACTCTCCTACCTGGATCTGTCAGGGTGGAAACAGAAGGGCCAATGAGTCAGATATCGATTGTGCAGGTAGACCAATATATAGCAGAAAAAACATGTTTCATAACTCAAAAACACATGCTCAATGCTACAGACGCTGCAGACTGGAGAAATCCTTGAGCATTTATTCAGTGTGCTGTGCATCATTGAAATGCAATGTCTATTAAAGTATTCCGCGCACATCTCAAGTCATTCAGAAGGCTGAGGGCTGTTCTACTGAAGTGCCCTAATTTTAGGGCAGATATAAGGAGCTCTCTCTTACTGCTGGAGTCTTTTGAGGCCTGATGAATGAGCAAATGAGATGCCGATTCATCACACTGAAGGATCAAATCATCTCTAAGTGGAAGTTTGGCTACACTTTGCTGGAGCGACTTGATATTTTGTTTTTCAGATATGTTTCAGAAAAGCTCTGCAGTTTTATTACAGAAGACTGCTGTTTTGTTCAAATCTATTTGACCCTAGGCCACAGTACATGGAAGAAAGAAACAAAGTAAAAATATTGTATCTTGTAGGCAAACAATAGGTGTATGTCTTACAGAGTCAAGCCTCTCCTCTTGATGTAAGAACTGGGCGATATCTTCGGGCGTGGTTCCCAGCATGCCTTGCTCCTGCAGGTACTGAATGCCCCTCTTTGGTTTTTTGTTGAACCTGTGCAAAATGGTAAATAGAACATTAACATATGAGCCACATATTTAGATTCAGCATTTTTTAAGTATGAAGCATTCACATGATACATTTTTCCCGAGGTTATGACGTTAGTAATGGTGTTTGTACCAAAAATAGGTATAATATAGTTTTGTCCCCTCTCTCTCACTGTTAAATGGGCTGCTTTTGATGCCGTGACTCAAACATTGAAATACATTGTGAAAGATTTATAAAACATACGGGTATAGTTGGACTAAAATGGTTTCCTCAGAAGGAAATGCAGAGTAGTAGGTGCTACACATTGCCAGAAACAGCACAAACCTTGACAGATATTCATGCATTTTACATTTTGGTTTCTGACTACCGAATAGGGCTCACTGACGTGTAAATGTGAGCAGTCTTGTGTTTAAATTGAGATGCACTCATCCAACATGTGTTGCAGAAGCTGCAGAATGTCTTTTTCCACTAGGGAAAAAGTTGGGTTGTTTGAACCCAACAGTTCAACTACTGGCTCAATAGATTGCATAATTTTTGGGATGGGACTGAATACCTGTTTGTCTTACAAATGGCAGATGGGGAGTGTTTTTATGAAACATGTTTGCAAGCAATTATTTTTACAATTCCAACTGTTCCTTAGAACGCCACAGAATTTGCACACTTCACATATAAGATAGGTCAGGAGTGTCCAAACCCGTTTCTGGAGGGTCATCATGCTGCAGAATTTGGCTTCAACTTGCCCCAACACACCTGCGTGGAAGTTTCTAGTACGCCTGAAGATCTTGATTATGTTTTAATTGGAGTTGGAGCTAAACTCTGCAGGACAGTGGCCCTCCAGGACCAAGACTGGACACCCCTGAAATATGTAAACTAAGCAACTTTCCATACAAATGTCTATTGATAGTGATTTTGTCAAACCATGTATGGTGCACATACTGCTTTCATGCTTTTGATTCGAATGTAATGGCTTACAGGTCAATGCCTTGCTCTATGATCTCCTTCTGTTGTTTGAGGACCTCAAACTGCTCAGGGTTGTCCGTCCCGGACATCTGCGTGCTGTAGCTCCCGATGCCCGACGAGGCAGTGGAGTCCAAAGAGTTTATGCTGCCATAACGGTTAATCGTTTCCGTATGCTTCGACTCATTGGTCTCCTGTTCTAAAGGCTTTTCTTGGCCTGATTGAGAGAGAAGGGAATGAAATTCAGATGCAATTTCATAGAAAGCGGAACGACAAGCCCAGTTTGTAAAACACCATGAGCCCCCACAGCCTATGGAATAAAGACGGCATGATTCATTGGGTTCCTGGATGTATGAAATGTATGTTGGTGTATTGAGTCTTTTCTCTGGCTCAGCTCCCTACATGAGTTTCCCAACATAACACTTCTCTAATAAAGTCTTTGGCCTCGGCTGACTCGTATCACAAAAACAGCACAATGGGGACTGAAGAAAGAGCAGCATGACCTGAATACACAATGTAACAGATCTGAAGTTGGTGCAAGCAAGACAAACAGGCGGTTTGGGTATGTGGAAGCCATGGCTGCATGTCGCGGGATCTTATTACACACTGGAAACACTGTAAAAGATTTAGCGGCTAGCTATCGCTGTAACAGGAGCTGTCAGGTCACTTCCTCCTTTCTCAGAGTTTCCTCTCTCGGAAAGATCACAGGATTCAGTAGCAGCTGGGAAATACTTACCCATTCGTATTAATTTATGTTTGATATACAAAAGCTAATACAGCCACAATACAAAGGACTATTAAGAAACCACTATCTAGTTTATGCAGCACATGCTAATGCAATCAATTCTAATGTCACTACAAACTGACGTTACCTGCTCTTCCTTTTGATATGCGTCCGTTAAGAGAAAAGAACAAAGATTGATTGGCTAGCATGATGAGATTTCAAGAATCTGAAAGCCTTGATTAGTGATCCAAAACAAACATAATGCACCTGAAGAGTTACCCAGATGAGTATGCTACAATCTGATTGGCCGATTATGACACAAGAGTAGCTATTTAGTCTAGATGAAAGGTTACAGCCATTTGCCATTGTAAACATAGCTACATTGAATCCATGGTAACCACTTTCATTAAATAAATAATTGTTTTATATTTTAGGTGGTCGCTAAGGCACCTTAGCCTATAGCTATGTGCTTCCAAGTGTTCGACTTGTCATTTAAAAACAAGCAAGGATCTCTGGTTTCTGATTGGCTGATAACTGAAAGTCTGAGGTGGGCTTGAGGCAACAGAGAAATTTCCCTTTGGGCCATATCAGAGCCTCTTCTCCTCCAACCCAATATAGCCAAGCTTGATTAGACCTAAATCCCCTCTGCTCCAAAGAGGCAGGGCCTCTAGCCTGGCGCATGTTCCCAGCTCATACGAGAAGCTTGGTTTTACAGTGTTCAGGGAGCCCGCAGACTGCCTCCCTGATGTCAGGGTGATGAATAACAGCCTCAGGGTTGTTTGATTAAGATGAAAGGCCTGCGTAGCCATCACGGTGAATAGCATTTCCTGCCTGTCTTTGAGGCACAGGACTCCTAGTGCGCTGTCTTTAAAAGCAACTGTATATTCAGAAGCCTCTGGACAGCAGCATAAATGCACTCAGAGGAGACTCATTTAGAAACACCAATGCCGTTACCTGGAATATGTAATGCAACTGCTTGGATCCAAAGCATATCAGGATATAGAGAGGCTAAAGAAGGTTCGACAGGTATTATACTGGTTGAGGAGCTAGTATTGATGTTTCTTTCTGCGGAGGCTGACCGTACTGACAAGCCTTACCGAGACTTGTCTGGGAATTGGGGTTGACATATTGGTCTTTGCTCCACTCCACCATACACTTGAGAATGGACACCAGACACTCCAGTCCTTTCTTCCTTAGAGTCAGCTCCTGAGGGACAACATGAGCTGGGATCACTAACACAGTTTTAAAAGAATAGTTCTTATGATTTACCTGTTCCAAATCAACATGCTTTTTTTTTCTTTTGTAAGAAAAAAAAAAAAAAAAGAAATTTCTTGAAAAACTTTCAAACTTAAAAAAGAA